GAACTAAAGAGCCTCTTGATGAAAGTGAAAGAGGAGAGTGAAAAAGTTGGCTTAAAGCTCAACATTCAGAAAACTAAGATCATGGCATCTGGTCCCATCACTTCATGGGAAATAGATAGGGAAACAGTGTCAGACTTTATTTTTTTGGGCTCCAAAATCACTGCAGATGATGATTGCAGCCATGAAATTAAAAGACACTTGTTCCTTGGAAGGAAAGTTATGACCAACCTAGATAACATATTAAAAAGCAGAGACATTACTTTGCCAACAAAGGTCCATCTAGTCAAGGCTGTGGTTTTTCCAGTGGTCATGTATGGATGTGAGAGTTGGACTGTGAAGAAAGCTGAGCACCGAAAAATTGATGCTTTTGAACTATGGTGTTGGAGAAGACTCTTGAGAGTCCCTTGACTGCAAGGAGATCCAACCAGTCCATCCTAAAGGAGATCAGTCCTGGGTGTTCATTGGAAGGACTGATGCTGAAGCTGAAACTCCAAGACTTTGGCCACCTGATGTGAAGAGTTGACTCATTGGGAAAGACCCTGATGCTGGGAGGGATTAGGGGCAGGAGGAGAAGGGGACAACAGAGGATGAGATGGCTGGATGGCATCACCGACTCGAAGGACATGAGTTTGAATAAACTCCAGGAGTTGGTGATGGACAGGCAGGCCTGGCGTGCTGCAATTCATGGGGTCACAAAGAGTCGGACAGGACTGAGCGACTAAACTAAACTGATACAGTAGGTTCTTATTGTTTACCTATTTTATACATAGTAGCAGTTCAGTCTTTTTATTTTAAACATATATTTATTTAGCTTCACTGAGCCATGTGAGATCTTTAGTTGCAGCATATGATTAGTTCCCTGACCTGGTATGGAACATGAGCACCCTGTACTGGCAGCTCGGAGTTTTAGCCACTGAACCACCAAGGAAGTCCCATTTGTCGTTTCGATGATGGCCTGGCACGCTTTCCACTTTATTCCATGTGTCGCCATTTTTTGTGAGTCTTGTAGTTATAGGTCTTCTGAAGTAGTAGTCTCCTGAGGCTACACGCAGTCTCTTCCTGGCCTGACTGTCCCCAGCCTGCCCGGAATATGCCTCTGTCCACGGCAGTCCTGCCTCAGGGTTGTGTGGCTCCACACTCGTGCTCTCTGTTCTCAGGCCTGTCCGGGCAGTGGCTCTTTGCTGGTCACTGCCTGTCTGTTCTATTTAGACCTGGTCATTTGTGCTGTTTCATGACACCAAAGCATCAAGTCTGTGAAATATGTATCTTTTCCTCCCCCAGGCCAGGAACCTACCCTCTGCAGGCCTCTGGTCTCTTGTCCTCCTACCTGGGGCTGCCTGTGACATCCCACCCTATGAGGCATCTGAAGCCCCTGCACCTATTGTGCGGACTTCTGGCCATACTCACTTTGCCCCAGTTCCTGAGGGCTGTTGATCAGAATTTAACATTCCTGCCCCGGGGCGAGGCACGTTCCCATCCTAGTTTCCCCTGAAGTGCCTGGGAGGCGCTGGGAGGGCACAGCGGAGGCTTCCGTTCAGTGAGGATGAGAAAAGCCCAACCAGGGACTTGCTTTTAGTGGAGTTCCACTGGAGATCCAGGTCTTTGCTCAGACCTGCCCTCCCATACTGAAAAGCATGCCTGTTTTTCTTAAGCACCCAGTCCTCCACCACTGTGCACCTAAAACAGCATTACTCCAGAATGCAAATGTTTCTACTTAGAAGAAAGTCTCCTTCAGCAGGGCTGCTGCAGGTAAGAGGGGCTGTCCATGGTCTCTGCTTGCACTGACCCCTCTCTTCCTGGCCCCATCACAGCTCCTGGCTGTTGCCCACCTCAGGCTATGTGATCCAGGCGAAGCTGCCACACCGGCCAGTTTGCAGGGGTGAGGAGTTGCCTGAGCCGAGCTCATCTGCATGGTCTTTGCAGCCCCACGAGTTGGTGTTGGGGTAGCATGGTCCCAGGCTGGTCCAAGGAGCGTGAACCCCAAGACACAGGTCAGGAGAAGCGCTGACCTGGGCTGGAGGGCTGGGGGCAGTGAGGAGTCCAGCAGCTGCTGGAGACCATCTGGCCACCATCTGGGGAGAACTCGCCTGAGAAAGGAACCCGCAGGGTCAAGAGATGGGCAGGGAGGCAAACAGGAGACTTTTGGGCACAGCCATGCCACCTTCAGACACCGCCTGCTGGGGACCCCACTTCTAAAAGATGCTGCCCTCCCTTGGAGAGGCTGGGGCAGGAGAGAGGGGCTTTGTTTTAGACATTAGTCTTTCTTTCCTTTGCCACAGTCCCAGCTTGCTGCTGCACAGACCTCAAAACCGTATTCTCATTCACAGGAAGACCCAGAGAACTGACTACCCATACCCTCACCACCGACCGACTCTGAGCCAAGAAATGACAGACAACCCATTTGACCTGGATTTCTTGGTGTAAAACGTAAGCTTACACTTACCAGAATGGAAAAGACTGCCTTGAAGGGGCCTGGACTGGCTCTCACTGATCCTTAGGAGTACAACCTGGAGCTTGGCAGCTCACCTTCAATCCTGGCTCTGCCCCTCGCTCGAGCTGTGTGACCTTGGACAGTAACTTCTCCGTTTCTCAGCTTTGTTTGTAAACTAGAACAGTGTCTTAGAAGAATGCCTGGCCATTAGTGCCCAATGCCTTAGCTACTTAATACTGGTTTCTTTTTTTTTTTTGGCCAAATTTCATGGTTTTAGTAACAGGTACACAGTGCGCACAGAAGCTGTCTGCTCGTTTTCTTTGGTGTGGAGCCTGGCTTGGGGATTGATGACCAGCTGGGCTGTGGTCTCCACGACGGCTTGGCAGTTCTTGGAGGAGCTGTGAGCAGTCTTGAGCACCGTGAGGTCTGTTGCCCATCAGCAGCACTTCGGGGTCTTTGATGGGCACCAAGACCTGGCCCTTGAATCTCTAACGCACCCTGTTACCAGGGCCAGTTCTGTTTCAGTTAAAAAAAAAATTTTTTTTAAATTTATTTGGCTGCCTTGGGTCTTAATGGTGGTTCACGGGCTTGGTTGCTCTGCAACACACGGGATCTCCCCAACCAGGGATGGAACCTGTGTCCCCTGCATTGCAAGCTGGATTCTTAACCACTGGACCACCAGGGAAGTCCCTCCTCTTCATTTTGACTTAAGGGTCTGACTGGTGCTGGATCAGCTGCCTGGTCTCTCTTTGATGATCTAGGTCTTTACATGGGGTCTGAGGGTGGCCATGAGTCACATAGGAAACGACTGCCTCCTCTGTAGGCAGCACTGAGGAAGAGAGCTGCTACAATTAGAAAAGATTTGTTATTTAGGAACAGAGGATTTCTGTCTTCCTCCAAGAGTCTCCCTGGCTGAGGCACATTGCTGCACTCTGACCACTGTGGACATTTGGACCCCACTTTTCAGCTAGGGAGACTTGCTTGGGGCTGATCGTGGTTCCCCGGGATAGAGGAGAAGCATATTCCCCATCCAAGACTAGTCACTAATTCAGTGTACCAATGACTAAAAGAGTTTAGCCCCAACGAGAGGTGCATCCTTGGCCTGTGAACACACCTATGGGTACAGAGAACAGGAAAACAGGTTGTGTGCCTGGCCCAGGAGACCTTTTTAAATGGACTTATCCCTGGGCTGGGTTCACCTTTTAAACCAGGCATCTTAAGTGACTCTTTTTTTTTTTTTCTAATGTCTCTGCGTTTTATTTATTTTTTTTTCCATTTATTTTTATTAGTTGGAGGCTAATTACTTTACATCATTACAGTAGTTTTTGTCATACATTGAAATGAATTAGCCATGGATTTACATGTATTCCCCATCCCNTTTCAAATCCTAAAAGATGATGCTGTGAAAGTGCTGCACTCAATATGCCAGCAAATTTGGAAAACTCAGCAGTGGCCACAGGACTGCAAAAGGTCAGTTTTCATTCCAATCCCAAAGAAAGGCAATGCCAAAGAATGTTCAAACTACTGCACAATTGCACTCAACTCACACACTAGCAAAGTAATGCTCAAAATTCTCCAAGCCAGGCTTCAACAGTACATGAACTGTGAACTTCCAGATGTTCAAGCTGGATTTTGAAAAGGCAGAGGAACCAGAGATCAAATTGCCAACATCTGCTGGATCATCGAAAAAGCAAGAGAGCTCCAGAAAAAACATCTATTTCTACCTTATTGACTATGCCAAAGCCTTTGTGTGGATCACAATAAACTGGAAAATTCTGAAAGAGATGGGGATACCAGACCACCTGACCTGCCTCCTGAGAAATCTGTATGCAGGTCAAGAAGCAACAGTTAGAACTGGGCATGGAAAAACAGACTGGTTCCAAATTGGGAAAGGAGTACGTCAAGGTTGTATATTGTCACCCTGCTTTTATTTATCTTTTATGCAGAGTACATCATGAGAAATGCTTGGCTGGAAGAAGCACAAGGTGGAATCAAGATTGCTGGGAGAAACATCAATAACCTCAGATATGCAGGTGACACCACCCTTATGGCAGAAAGCGAAGGACAACTAAAGAGCCTCTTGATGAAAGTGAAAGAGGAGAGTGAAAAAGTTGGCTTAAAGCTCAACATTCAGAAAACTTAAGATCATCAAGGGCCATCACTTCCTGGCAAATAGATGGGGAAACAATGGAAACAGTGAGAGACTATTTCTTTTGGCTCCAAAATCACTGCAGATGATGATTGCAGCCATGAAATTAAAAGACACTTGTTCCTTGGAAGAAAAGCTATGACCAACATAGACAGCATGTTATTAAAAAGCAGAGACATTGCTCTGCCAACAATGGTCAATCTAGTCAAAGCTATGGTTTTTCCAGTGAGAGTTGGACTATAAAGAAAGCTGAGCATGGAAGAATTGATGCTTTTGAACTGTGGTGTTGGAGAAGACTCTTGAGAGTCCCTTGGACTGCAAGGGATCCAAACAGTCCATCCTAAAGGAAATCAGTCCTGAATATTCATTGGAAGGACTGGTGCTGAAGCTGAAACTCCAATGCTTCGGCCACCTAAAACGAAGAACTGACTCATTTGAAAAGACCCTGATGCTGGGAAAGATTGAAGGCAGGAGGAGAAGGGGACGACAGAGGATGAGTTGGTTGGATGGCATCACTGACTCGATGGACATGAGTTTGAGTAAGCTCTGAGAGTTGGTGACAGACAGGGAAGCCTGGCATGCTGCAGTCCATGGGGTTGCAAAGAGTTGGACACGACTGAGCAGTTGAACTGAAAACTTAAATGTGGGGCTTGGGAGGAGTTTGGTGTTGACTCTTTCAGCATTTAAAGCTTTTCCCTCCTTGGATACAGAGATGGGGTGGAGTAAGCTCTGGCTGGAATGCTGTCTTTGCAAATGAGGTGGTCTCTTCATGACCTTGGGAGAGTTTCTCGTAGTCTTTCTCCCCCAGGCTCCTCCTGGGATGTGTTACTGATAAATTTACATGGAAAGCAGCTGGAAGTGTTCTCATCATCTGTTTTTGACTATGTAACATAACAAGCTCACACCCTCCCATGCTGGCTGACTTCTCTGGGCAAGTGTTCTCTTGTTAACAGCTGCCCACACTTAAGTAATGAAAAGTCCAGTGGCTGCCGGTTAGAACAAGTGTGTTAATGGTGGGGAATGAAGCAGCTGTTTCTGTATTTGAAACACGGACCATGTTGACTTGAGACTTAACCCAAAGAAGTATAGCCCTCACCCTTCCATGGTGTCCCACAGGGTCTTAGAAAATAAATACTAACTTTCCCCATGAGGAGAGAAAGGGGGACAGCATGCATGGGCCTGGGCTGGTTGGAAAAGCACAGTTGGTCAGTAGGCAAGTTGCTGGAAAGGTTTGCTCTCTCAGACCCAAGGCGGGAAGACAATGAGGCTCACCACTCCGATCTTCCTAAGAGGCAGCGTTTCCTTCCTTGGGTCAGTTTATTTGCTCCTATCACCCAGTTACTTCTGAAGCCAGGCAGACATCTCACTCTCTTCTCCATCTTGTCCTCTCTTGACTCAATCTGGTAGAACATAGGGTGGTAAGAGACTGATCTTTCAGATTTACCCAGGCTTTGGCCAGATCATTCATGCTGAAGGTGACAGTACTAGTTGATTACTCAGACTAAGCAAAGGATCAATGTAGAGAGAGTGTAGCTCACCTGTTCATTCATTAGTTCAATAAAGACTTAACCTAGCATTACATACCAACTGCTGTACCAGGCCCCGAATTTACAAAGATGAAAGTCCATGTATAAGAAACAAACTCCTGATTGTAAATTACTTTCAGAGAATTTTTAATTTCCGAGAAACAAAGATGTTCACATTGACAGTGAGCGACGCTTGAGCATTCCCGAGTGGGACAGGTGCCAACTGTGACGCCAAGCCCGTGAGCTTCAAAGACATAACCTCCCTACCGTTCCACATGAGTGAGCAAGCGTTCCTGCCACCAAGGACCCTCAGACACACACACACACAGGAGGAAGACAGGTCAAGGTGTGCAGTGTATTTTCTACCCTCCCTTCTGACTGTGTGTCTCACTTCATTAAAAAATTTGCTGACAAAGTTAACAGACTGTCAACTGCAGTGTGTTCTAAAACTGTGTATTCAACATGACAAAATCCTACAGAAATACTAGAATTTGATTATAAGAATATGCATAGGAATTATGGGATTTGGATACACACAAGTTTAAAGAAATGTCAACTAGAATTTCTCAAGTGGCTACTCATTCAAGGTCATCAAATGAATCCATTGTGTTACTGGCTTGTCTCCTCAATCTGTTACTATGTACCCAGCAGGACTTTTTCTTTTTTCCATCTGCTGTTTGTTTGCACTAGATCTTCCTTGCTTCCTTCTGGCTTTCTGTAGTTGCAGTGTTCAGGCCTCTCACTGCAGTAGCTTCTTTTATTGTGGAGCATGGGCTGTAGGATTCTTGGGCTTCCGTAGTTGTGGTACATGGGCCCAGTAGTTGTGGCACGTGGGTTTAGTTGCCCTGTGGCATGTGGGATCTTCCTAGATCAGGGATTGAACACCTGCCCTCTGCCTTAGCAGGCATATTTTTAACTGGACCACTAGGGGAAGTTCCCCAGCAGGACTTTAACTCAATTAGAGACTCCCAGTGCAGCAGTTGATATTTGTTGAGTCTTACAAACAAATAGAGCATACCACCGCCATGCAGGACATCACACTCCTGCTCTCCAGTTGACCACGAGCCAGGCCATCCAGCACCTCCATGGCCCATGTGGCTACTGCCATGTGGGTATTGCAGTCTTTCACTTCTGTGCTTGTTCTGCCCATGGTATTTCTCCCCGAAGTTTTTTCTTCCATCTGTTCTGTGTCTGTCCTTTATCATAATGACTGGGAGTGGTCCCAGCCTGCCCTAGCAGGCACCCGCCTCCCTGCCCTAACCCCAGCCAACCCTGCAACTTGCTAGTGCTTTGGCCCTCAGGCTCTGAGAAGCCTTTCAAATGGGATTCAGGGCAGGGAGGGCATGGGGGCAAGTGCTCTCTCCTCAGCCATTGGATTTCTTTGGCCAGGCCTGTCTTTAACCTGCACAATGTACAGGCAGGTTTCTTGGCACAGGCCCTACAGGGAGGTAATGGCTGCCCTGATACCAACCGATCCTTAATCAAGAGGCTTTAGAAATGCCCTTTTGAGAATCTTCCCTGGAAGCCCCGGAGAAGGTGGTATCCTTTAAAAAACACTGTCTTTGAAGGCAGACTCCTCCAAAGGTCTCCATCCAAGAGTCCAGGTGAGGAGGCCACAGCTTGCCGC